TTTTTTTTACTTCATTTTCGTTCAACGGTAAACTAACGAGCCGAGAGTAATAAAAGCATTCGACACGAACGGAGAGCAATCGATGGCTTTTTCCTCTTCTCCTTTTTTTCTTTCTTCTTTTCCCTTGTCTCTTTCTCTCTCTCTCTCTCTCTCTCTCTCTCTTTCTTTTTTCTGATTTTAGTTTCTCGCAACGATAAAAGCTTATTGAAAGTCGTCAGTCCGCCAGTTCGGCAGGAAGTTGCGTCGAACTTGTCGTCGCTCAATTGAAACGTCTTTGTCGCGAACTGGCGCAACCGCGACGATTTACATCGTGCCAGTAAAACGCGCTCGTCATTTAGTTCCGTTTATTTTTAGTCTGCGCCGCCGGCCGGCCGGCTCACAATAGCCTTTATTCGATTTGACGAAAGACCGGCACGCGTCACTCGTTTTCCGGAATGCTTACAGTGAAATTTAGAAAGCACGCCCGCATCTGCGTGATCGCGTGTCACACGCTGAATATGCATCGTCCCGAACGAGCCGATACGTGTGCACATGTACATACGCGGCTCGTCGACAATGGGGCAACGCTTCGTGGATTCCCTTCTTCTTCGTTTTCATCGCGCCTCCTTTTTTTTTTGTTTCCTCTCGTAAATTATATTCTCCCCGATACGAAGCACCTACATACATGCGTCTACGTTGCGAAAATACCGCAGCTATCGACGCTGTCCCGTATCATCGTTTTTCGCGTTTTCGTTCGCGACCTCTCCGACAACAGTAAGCCGCGCGTGCTTAAATCGATCGGAGCAATTCGCTAAGAGCACCGCCGATCGATTCGATCGGCCAGTCATCAAAAATTCATTTATTTGACGCGTTAGTCGGCAAACTTTCGTCCACTTACTACAGCGACGCTGCTGTTTCCCATCGACTCGCGTCGACGCAATTCGAGCGCAATTCCACCGTCTGCCAGAGGGGGCGATTCACGGCCAAGTCAAAAATCCCTGTTACACACGTCTCGTACTTCCTCCTCCCGGCTTAATTGCCGGAAAACACGGCTGGCAACGATAATCGGCCAAAAAAGGTTGATTAATCGACATGGGCGATATCCGTCTACACGGTTCTACACGATCGAAACGGTTAATTGGCCGAGCGGATCGCTCGATTAATCGATTAACCACCGAACGGTGTTTCTGCTAGGTGAAACGGGGGTTCTAGACCCGAGGAACCGATCCGAGATACAACCGCGTATCTTGCTCGCTCGTTTAATTGCCCCTATGCATCCGATCGTTCGACTCGGAGAGATCGATGACGATCTTATCGGACGAGCACACGGCCAACAGAGATCGTCGTACGATGGATCGGACGAATATTCACCAAACACGGATGCAAACCGGTACGTCACTGCTCAAAATGCAAGTGAACGAGGAAGGAACCGAAGTTCCCGTTTTCTTCGCAACATTCTCGACACCTGTCACGCGCTTTGAGCAAACAAATTTGGAATTTCCTTCCGTTACGAGGAAGATGTTGCTAATTTTGTAACAAGAAACATCGACCGTAAAGTAATCTCGATTTGAGACGGTAAATGGTTACCGTCGAAAATTGTCGCGTAGATGAAAGACTTCGGGAGGGCTTTACATCATAATGTAATGTCAGCAAATCACCGACGATATACGACTGCAATAAAATCACCGGGCGAAATTCACTCGGCGCGACTGTAGTCGGAGGGAAATAACATCGCGCGCCAGAGATGTATCGCAGGAGCCGGCATCTGAAACTACAACTATAAATTTTTCTAAATCTCCGTTTAAACTTCGCTCAGTTCGAACGGGCTCTTTCAAGAGATATCAGAACTTCGACTGCGGACCATCTTTCGTTGCTCTCTCCCGGCAACTTCCTCTTATCTGCGTTTGCCGAGGAATTTCGAAAACAGCTTCGCCTCCTGCAAGTTTCTCGTGCGAAGAATTTTATCGCTGAATTAACTGACATCTCGCTGCATACACTGCATATAGCTTCTCGATCGAAAATCCATCCTTCCACGATTCACGAATGAAAAAACGTCACGATGCTGGTGAAAAAAGTTCGCTGCTGCTCGGTCTGAAAAATTGACGCGAGCTCTTCGAGTCCAATGTCCTTGAAAAATTCATATGAACGCAATTTCTACATTCATGGATTTCACTCGAAAATCATTAGTTCAAAAGTTCACGTCGCGTGCCATTATTCTATAATAAATAAATTCTCGTCAAGGAGCGCGCGTGCTCATCCACGAGAGCGCTAGTTCGTTTTCGTCGGCGCACGCTTCCGCCTCTTCGCGTTTGTTCGCTCGTTAATCGCGAGATTTACGCGAAAGCGACGCGACAACATCACGGCCTGCAGCCAATCGTTTCTCGACCGGTCGCGCGCGGTTGCGTGCGTGCGTGAATGCGTGAGTCTCCTCATCGCGATTTCGCGTTCGTCGGGCGACCAGGCGCACGCAATAACCGCGCGCAAACTGTTTGGAAGAACGCGGCACACGATTCATCGAACGCGCATATATTTATAGCGGGCCGAGTTTCCACGAAGACTTTTCCTGGCGATGGATCCTAGCAGCGAAAGCCAGCCAACTCGGACCAGTTGCCCGACTGTTTGGGATTCTCCGCGGCCAACCGTGTCATCGGGATCGTGTTATTGTTGTTGTTATTATTGTTGTTGACAGTCGCGGAGGAATTTAGATTCGTTCGATCGGCAGCATCTTTATTTCTTTGGATGTCTTGATGAGAGAAATGGGACAAAAGTGAACAGGTTGACTGTCACGTTGGTCACCTGTTTCCTCGATGGGGCCATGGTGGTCGTCAGTGACCAGGGTGCTTCAAATGTCTCGAATAAATAAAATAAAATAAAACGAATATGGTCAACTAAAAAATTTTGAACGTCAAACTCTTCGTGTTCTTTTCGAATGAATAAAATAAAATAAGTATCGTCAACTAAAAGAGTTAGTTAACTAGAAAAATGTACCATGATTAAAGATTTCAATTGAAACGTTATATATTGTATTACAAAAACGAAGAAATAATCGCGACTCCCTAAGAGCATCATGTAGTAAACCTGCCTTGCGTGGCAGTCAACGTGTTAAAGACGAATACTTAATAAATGACTCGTGTTTATGATGTTGATGAGAGATTAAAGATAAATATTAGCAATGTTCGTAGATTGCATCGTAGATTAAGGAAATACTTGGCATTGTCGTGGGCAATTATTGCGTGAAAAGAGAGATTTTCTTTTTTAATTTGCTTCACGAGACGAATTGATCAATAATCGTGTGACTGACGTCACTGGTGGAAGTTTTAGGTTTTATTTAGTTTAGTATTAAATAAAATATCGTGGATTAAAATTGAAACAAAATATCGTGCAGCGAGAAGCAGAAGCCATGACGACTTGGCTCTAAGTTAAATGAAATTTCGACGATCCAAATGTTTGTTAATTATAAACGAAAAGAGAGTTAATTTGCCTGTCAATAACGCTGCAGTAAACGCCAAATTGCCGCCGCTGCGAATATTTCGATATAAATAATCGACCGGCGCTTCCATCTATATTTCGCGACGTGGTTCATTAACTCTGTTAATTATTACTTAATAATAACTTAACCTAAACTTTGAACAATGTCCCGAAGAGGATATCACGAACGGGGAGAAATTTGAAAATACCCCCGGTAATAAACGAACGTTCGTTTTAACAACTTAAACAACACGAAAGCTGCGGAATAAACCGGATACGTTCACAAAGTAAGTCAATTAGCATCGTTTATGAGTGAAACTTGAAGTGGCTGACAGAAATTGGCCTGCGAATATCGCATCGCGTTGCCATATCCTCGATGTTTCACCCAGCATCGAGGAAAAAACGCCAGCGCACGCAATGCGTCTATTAAACGCACTGCTTTATTAGTCCTTCTCAGGTGAAGTACACGTTTAAACGCAAGAGAACGAATCACTGTGCTTGCTATTACGCAATTTATTACTGGCGTGTATGCTGAAAAACCGTGCGGAATAATTAAGATGCCCTTATCTACCATTTTAAACGACTAGATTAAAGAAATCTCTCTCGCATTCAGATGAAAAGGAAGAAAAAAAAAAAGAGAAAATAACATAAAATATTGATTCGACGTAATTAATCATCCAACAGTTTAGTTAGCACCTTTTGTCGAATTCATCGAATCGAGTTGAACGTTCAACGTCAAAAAACATCACTGTACACTGCAAGTGAACACTCCTCGTATCTTACTTACGTACAGGTGTAACTTTTCCCGAATGACAATAATCCGATTTCAAACATAAGCAGCGCCAATAAAGTTTCAAGAAACGACGATACATTCACGAAGACTTCCCGCTGCGAGTGTCGTGAATCGCGGATATATGAGTCGAAGAAAGGGCGAGAAAAAAGTCGGATCTAGTAACGGTAGCAAAGCTCCAAAACGGAATAGAAAGCGGACGGTTGCGCGTTCGTGAAATGCGACAACATTATTCAGGCATCATATAAAGTTGCCAGGATTATCTGTCGGCGAGCTGGCACACAGAGACGAGCCGGACGACATTATGAGGCTCCCATGTAAAATTGCAATCAACGTTGCGCCGATCGTTCACCTACGACTAGTCGATTCTCACATGTCTACATACCGAACCCGCCTACGTTTCGCTCGCGCGCTGCTCTCACGCTTTATTTCATGCGAATCATTGTGCCGGAGAACAAACAGAAATGAAAAAAAGAAAAAGAAAAGAGAAAAAAACGAACGAACGAAAGGCGAAAAGTCGGAGAGAGAGAGAGAGAGAGAGAGAGAAGAGAGAAAAAAAGGAGCGAGTGTTAACATTTCCTTTGATTTTATCGTTATGTAACGTTCCTTTTCCTCGGGAAGTCTGAACGTGCTCAGAACGCACCAAGTCCTCATATGTTCGCAATCGTATCGATATTGAATTGCGTAATGGCACGCTTACGATTCGCTCGTGAACTTTCGCAAGCTGTATCCTGCATGTTTATTGTTTTTTCTCGCGTGGAAATTTCTTTCCATACTCTCAGCCGGGATAATATTCTACGTTCGTCGTGGCATTTCGTTTCGTTCGTTTGAATTTGCATTTGATTTCAATCACGAGGGAGGAACGAAGAGTTTATTTATTAAAGAGAGAGAAAAAAAAAGACAAAAATTGATAAGAAATAAAGAAATCACGCGTGACATTGCACCTTTCAGAAAAAAGATTCACGTATGATCGAAAAAAGTTCCAGTCATTCGTATAAGGAGATTACAC